CCGCTGACACACGCTGGCCCCCTCCTCCCCCAGCGCCCCTGCCCCCCGCAAGAGCCTGTGCGAGTCTTGCCCGGACGACTGGCTGCCTCGCTCCCCGGCCCGGAGGGGCACGAACCCCTCCTACCCGCACCCTCCAGGTGCCAACCAGGCGGGGGCCGGGACTTCGCGAGGGCCGGTGCCTCCAGCCGCCTGCTACGCCTCCCGAGTCCTGCGGTGTCCGCCGAGCCCTTGCTGGCTGCCCGGGGGATGACAGGCCCCATCGATCCCGACCGAAGACCGCCCAGGTCAGGCCCTGCGGCTCCTGGGCCCCCTGGGTCCCCAGCGCCCTGCCCAGTTACCGGGGGCAGCTGTTAACGGCTTCTCCCCTCGGCCCTGGACACAAGGTGCCCTGTGGCCTCTCTTGGTAGTCTGGGGGCTTCTGACCTCACGTATCTGCTCCCCCACTGGGCTCTGTGGTTGTCTCCTCCGCCACCTGCCACGGCCATCTGGCTTCCCTTCCTGGCTCAGGTCAGCCCTCGGTTCCCCCCGGCCGGGCCGCACTGAGTGCCTCGTCCCTGACCCCCAGCTGGGCCACAGCGGAGCAGCGGAGTGCCTCACCCCCAATCCCCTGGCTGGGCCACTTAGGCGGGTCTGGGGATGGTTTCCCAGAGTCTGAGGACTTGAGGCTGTTCAAGTGCCTCGACCCAGGTAGCCCCATCCATCCCGATTAGGGATCTGCCCTTGGGGTAGCAGACCTTGGGAGGCCACGGCTTCAGGCTCCTCTGGACGGAGGCGAGTCCTGGGCGCGGGCCTCGGCTTACCCTGGCTGTGGGAGGCCAGGCTCCCTTTGGATCCTGCCAAGGGTCTCTCTGGCTTTCAGGCTTAGCCTTTAGTTGGTGATTAATCCCACTCGGCTTTTCATTGTGCCTCTCCCGCGTGCCCAGCACAGCCCCCCAAGTCCACTGCCTTTATAGTTCTCTTTAACCTTGCGGACTGGTGCCCACACTCCCGTCGGCAAGCGGTCCCGGCCACCCCCGGGCCAAGTTGAACGGCTGCATTCCATGATCACCCGCTGCCCGGGCCCTCCTCCTTGGTAAGGTCAAACTCCGCCTCGGATTTCTAAGATCCTGTTTCCGGGGACCACCCCTGGAGGTGGGAAGCTGACCTGGGCTCTGGCCCATCATCCCAAGGGGAGGGCTGGAGCCCGATGGCTCTTCAAAGTTGTTCTCAAGTGGAGCCAGGGGGCTAGGCCTTTGCAGCTCCTCCTGGACCCATCTGGAGACGTGGTAGCCCCCAGGAAGGAGAGCAGGACCTTGGAAGAAAGGACTCCCTGACTGCAGGCAGTCCCCAGGGCTCCCTGGAGGCTGGAGGATAAAGGCTCCAGGGCCGGGGTGGGGGCTGGGGTGCGGCGCCTGTGACAGGCCTCCCCTCCCCGTGCTCCCAGCAGAGCAGCACAAACCATAAGGAGCATCCATAGAGATTTTTAAAACAAAAAACAAACAAACAAAAAATATATATATAAACAGAAGATGAAATTTGGAGAACTAGTAAAAGAGAAATCTTTTATTAGGGTATTGCAGACACTTTTTTTTTTTTTTAAAGAATTTTTGCCTTCCAGCTCTCAAATGTCCTTTGGCTGATAAATCTCGTTTCCTGTAGATGCAGTAACAGTTGCAGGTGAAGGGCACTGCCCACCTGTACCTGTCGGGTTGTACGTTTGAAGTACTTTATATCCATCAGATCACATAACAGTTTGGACTTCTGTAAATTCCTACCTTAAAACATCCCTTCATCATCCTAATTAATTTGTATTTATTCCTCAGGGCTCAGCCCAAGGCCTTCCTCTCTAACTTGATTCTTTCTACGCTACAAGAATGAATCACTTCCAATGTTCTTATCGCTCTCTGCCACCTGTTTTTGGCACTTACTCCATCGGTGTTGTGGCCCTTGGCTCACCAGCTAGGACACTAGAATACGGGACATATGCTGGGCATATACTAAGGTTCAATAGATACTTGCAAACTGAATAAAAATGTTTCTTCGTATTATCTTTCTGAATTAAAATTCAAAAATTTTCACTGAAACCTTACGTGCCACTGGGTGGGTCAAATGTTAGGCCAGACGTTTCACATTTGGGTAAAGTGAGGCACTACGTCATTTTGATACCAGTCAAGACAAGAAGAGGTTGGCAATAGAACCTCCACATTCAATTTCCCGTGCTTTTGGGATTCCACGAAACCTCCTCTATGATACTTTGTATAGTTTGAAGACAGTCACTCATATTAGTAAGCCAAAACCAATCCTGATGCTACTGTGAGTCCTAAATTTAGTATGAACTACTCTCTTTCGGAAGAATCAGTTATAACTTCAATAGCCGTAAATCAAGCGGGCCCATCTGCCGGCATGTATTTTGGCATTTCTCAGGGTCTACAAGTTTTGACAAGAAGACCGTCGCACACAGCAATGTGGTGAATCCAGGGAGAACCACAGACTCCCCTTTGGTAAATGGCCAGACCTCTTACTGGAGTCTTTTTTTTAAAGATTTTATTTATTTATTCATGAGAGACACACACACACACAGAGAGAGAGAGAGAGAGAGAGAGAGAGAGAGAGAGAGAGAGAGGCAGAGACACAGGCAGAGGGAGAAGCAGGCTCCATGTTGGGAGCCCGACGCGGGACTCGATCCCGTGACTCCAGGATCATGCCCTGAGTCCAAGGCAGGTGCTAAACCGCTAAGCCACCCCGGGATCCCCTTACTGAAGTCTAGATAGAGATAAAAACACAAAACGAAAATCCAACAATGTTTTCCAAAGAACACAAATAATTCACAACCTTGTTGACGCACGTTCAGTGAGGCCTTCTAAACATCTACTAAACACGCTCAGCTCACATGCACTGAATGCGTACTTTGTGCCACTCTTAACAAGCATTCTATAGGCATCATCTCATGGATTTAACAAATGCAGTACATATTTACTTGATACCTACTACAAATCGGCCATGTGCTAGGTTCTTGTCCTTCTCCGAGAGACTGAAGAATACGAAGGGGCTCTTGGTTTTTTTGTATCCTCCTTTTGAAACAAATACAATTTGAAATCTCCAGCCAGATCTATCTTCTCAGAATAGAGTGTAATTTTTTAATGAGAAAGAAGGCATCCACATTAAGGCTCTATTTTTTTTTTTCACTGTCTTAATACTCACATAATTAGCCTATGTTGACAGCACGCCTGATGGGGCATGTCTGGGAGAAAACAGGGTCAGATACTTAGAGTTACTCCAGATTCCTTTGTCCTGAGCTTGGCTGCAAGGGATGGGCACCATCTGACTTTGTTTTCTTATCTGTGGAAAGAAAAGAATCTATATCCGTTTGACGGAGGAATCTGTCCCCAGAATGAATGGATCTAATCTTGCTGGTAAGAGTGGAGCGAATTGCTTACCTTCTTCCTAGAGATGCATCAGCCTCTCACTCAGCGGGGCACTAATTAGAATACTTTTATGAGTAATTTGCTTAAAGGGACCCAGGAAACTAGAGACAATTCAAGTTCGGTAGGTACCGAACACTCTTCTCCTGCAAATGAATGAACCAAATATGAAGGGGGCCTTAAAGCTTATGGGAGCCTCCTGGCAGGACCAATGTGAAACAAAAAACAAGATGCTGGGATGGGAGCACAAAACGATGTAACTGCTCAAAAAACAGTTCACGTCTTTAAAAAAGAAATGTACAGATCCACAAAGTCTAAACACCCTTTTAGGCATTCACTATTTATTGTGCTGCCTCCAGAAATGTAAGGTTTGATTAAAGGGGGATGATAACCTCCAAACACGCATTGTGAGCTTGGTTCATTTAAACAATTACAGGCACACACCTCTCTGCAGTTTTTTTTTTTTTTTTTTAGTTTGTAAACAGCAAAAAGAACCGAACATCTAATTTTTGAAATTCTTCTGGCTTTTCTTTTTGACCTTTGGTATTTGTATGTATTGACGATCTCTAAACCATCGTACAAAAACACCTTGAAGTGTCAAGCTTTAAAAATGAGTCTTCTTTTCTCTTTCTCCTGTGCAGCTTGGATTATCTTGGCCTTGTCAAAATACATTCTCTAGTTAGAGGTTGGAAATATTTCCCTCCTGGCTCCAAAGTATTGATTTTCTCCAACACTCAGCTCTGTCAGTCAGCTGAAGGGGTGAAAGGTGAAAGTTCACCCAGCACTGCTTGGCTTTACCTTCCTATTAATGTCATGCCCTTTCCACATTTGATCAGTTTATGTGATCACCAATCATACAGGACCGGAACGGCCCCTACTCTCCCTATAAGGACACACTGCAGTCACCAGGAGACGCTAAAGCAATTCCCCGGATGGACACTGGGCCTCTGAATAGGGCCCAAGATGTGGCCGGCAGTTCCTTTAATGTTTACCCTTTTTTGAAAGAAAATCACAGTTACATGACGGCTGGCTCAGTGTAGGTCTCTACATTCTTATGTGAAAATTAAAGATGCACATTCGCCACTTAATGAGCCCTCAGCGATGACCTATTTTGTTCGTCTTGCTTCTCCTGGAAACCAATGGCATCCATTACCTCAGGGATTCACATTCAGCTCCAAAATGAGTCTTCAATGAAATGAATCTAATGATCTCGTCCGGTACCCCTGCCCCCCGACTCCGGGGCAGCCAACCCACCTCAAGAAGTCTGACAGGATGGAATCCAGTACAAGGAAGCCTATTTAGGAGCAAGTTAGGGTGGAGATGGAGCGACAGGCGTGCAGTTCCCTTGCCCAAACCACAGAGGGTGCTGTTGAGTTGCTGGCAGGAGTCCACACTTGGGCTGCGTCTTCCCGGTCTTCTGTCCCACTGTCCTTTGTGACAAGTTTGCCTTTCCTGAAGCTAGCTCTCCTCCGGGGAAATGAGTAATTGTGCACAGAGAGAAGGCTTACTTTGGTACCGAAGGGGGGGGGGGGAAGCATATGGATTTCAACTGAGAATGTTTACGAAGAGTGAACAATGTTTTTAATGAGAAAAACAATCTTCAGAACAATTCCTTTTTATTTAACACACATATGTACACAGGGACATTCAGCACATATAGAATCTATTAAGTGGAAATGCCTTGAGAGGCAGACATTTTAATTCAGTCGCTGCACACAGCGAGCTCAATCATTACATTTTCATACAGGTGTACATCATGTCATCTTCTGCTTGTAAATCACCACGGAAGCCACATATGTCTCTACGTTTACAAGGATAGGTCCAAATACGGTGCCGACGAAATCAATAAGACACTAAAAGCATACACTGGGAGGACAATACAAAGTTTACCTCAGTGCTGAGAAGTCTAAGCTGTGATCAAGTCTGGGACTGTAGTTGTCAAAATAGCCAAGGGGAGATTTGTGGTAACAAGAAGGCAAATGCTCATTTAGCGGTTAGAGACGTCTAACCCTCAGGTGTCATCTGCCCCAGGTGTATGGTAGGGCTATCCTACTGGCCAATGACAGCATGTGGGATGGGCTAGCCTGTGGCCACTGCCCCGATGTCTGGCCCCCGGGCCCCGCGCTTGTTCCAGGCCTCCGTGGTGCGTGCCACGGTGTGTCTGTGGTGGCCTGCCACTGTCTCACACCTTTTCCCTGATGCATCTTGTTTTAAAAAACTCTCTAAGGTATACTTTTGCGTCATCAATCCAAAACAATTTTGTAGTCTAGAATAAATTAATCCCTATTTAAGTTCATAAAGTAAACATGTGCTGGGTATCGAGAAGACTCGGGAGCCCACTGGAAAAAACCAAGCGCGTCTTTTGTTAACGGCAAGTTTCTTTACCTATATTGAACACAACGAGCATGTTCACCAAACGAATACATCTACACTGTATAGTTCTTTGTTTCTTCCTTGGAAACTACATATATAATCTTTATAAATACAACGTACATGCATGTGGCATAAATTCACTTTTAAAAGAACAAAGTCTTAAAACCAAGAAACAGTACAGGTTCGCCATCAATGCAAATAACATACTTCATATCAACAGGAAAGAGACGTTCCAGTGATCTTAATTTCTTAACATGTTCTTTAAAAATCTGCTTCAATAAAATGACACATGTATTTGTTCCTGGACTGTGATCCTTTTTTTTTTTTTTGTATATTACATGAACTCTGACAATCTATGCTTTTCCAATTAAATGTTCCCGTTATCATTTTGGTTCCTCTGTAAACTTCATATTTGCTCTGAATTTAATAAGTCATTTTGTTTTGGTATTTAATAAACCATTGTGCCTAGCCAACCAATCGACTAACCAAACCACCAAATCCCCAACTATGTACAGATCAAGATTTGTTAGGAGGAGCAATTCATACAAAATGTTATTTTATGGATTTTTTTTTCCATCACCATGAGCAAGAACCAGCATAATTTGACAGAAGGAGAAGAAAGCGACCTAGTTAAAGCTTCCTTTGAAGTATGATGAACACCCTCCTTGCAGTGTTGGCTCAAATAACTTGAGAGCCCTCACGTTTTATATGTACTCCTGAATGCTTGTGCCGTAGTTACTAATTTTCTAGGACACTTGTGTAAAAAGGGACGCTGTCTTTGTTTTTAATTGATCAGTTCGAAGGCTGAACTGTAACTATTACATAACTGACTTAGGTCGTACATGTGGGGACTACAGGTCTGTGAGGTTTCTGGAGGGATGGGGTAAGGTCTTTTTTAAAAGGACCTGTAGCAACAGACATAGAATCTTATTTAGTATATATGCTATGCTTCCAAACTCAGTTCTCTATTATAAAAGCCCATTTAAGAGATTATAGTGACTGGATAAGTACATTAACTAGATCATAAATAATGATGATTTTTATTTCAAACTACTAAATATACTATTGAGCAGGATATGAGCATTTTATTTTATTTTTTATTTTTATTTTTTTTTAATAAATTAATTTTTATTGGTGTTCAATTTACCAACATACAGAATAACACCCAGTGCGGATATGAGCATTTTAGAAGGCTAGGTGTCTAGGAAACTGTATTCTCTTGTGAGGAGGAACATTTTTTTTTTTTGGTCTATTTTCTCATTAATCTCAAATCTGTTAGGTGTTAATAGTAGTGGCTAAACCCTAGGAAATTGTAGTGAGTAGTTTCCTACCAATCATAGGGCGGGGCCGGGGGGGGGAACCAACCATGTAAACACCAAATCTTTTTGGTAAACAATAATGTATTTCAGGAAATCCAAAGGAAAATAATTTCGCTAATTAGGACTGCCACATGACCTCCAAACCCAATGTCAACACCATCAGGTTCAAGCAGCAGTTCGGGGGGGTGGGGGGGGGTTAGCTCTATGAAAATGCTGATCCGGGCTGGGAACGCAATCACAGTGTTTACTGAATTTGAGGCTTCTGGTGCACCAAGCAACAGGGGTGCTCCTAGGGACTGGACACCCCCCCACCCCAGCCGGGGGAACAAAATGACCTAGTGTCACGGACGGGCCCCATCCTGCAGCATGGCGTGTGCAGGCCTCGGCGTCAGACAGGGGACACGAGCGGGAGTGTGCCCCGAGAGCCATGCAGGGGTGACAGGGCCTCGGCTGTACCCCGGGTGACGCGGGCGGGCACTGAGGAATGATCCGCGCGGGGAAGGACAGAGCAACCCGGCAGGTGGCCGCGTCAGACCATGAATCGGTGCTCCCGCCCGTCGTGGGCCATGAGGATGACGTTGCGGTTGGAGGTCCAGATGAGCCGGGCCAGCCGGAGCGCGCCGTGGGAGCCGGGCGAGGCGGGCTGCACGGGCGGCACCTGGTACGTCTTGATGCAGCGCAGCTGTGGCGCCGAGTTGAGCATGCCGATGCTCCCCAGCAGCGAGGTGTTCATCTGCGGGGACAGGGGACGGGGGCACACGTGTCACTGGAAGGACACTGCTGCGGCCACGAGCTCTGCCTGGGCTTCCCCTGGGCAGCAGTCCGAGCCTGGCCCGGACGGGGCGCCCGGCGGGGCAGGAGGCCGCTCAGGGCTGTTACATGGACGCAGCACAAATCCGGAGAATCCTACCCTGGGCAGGACCTGCCATGCAGGAGGCACCCGTCTTTGGGAAGGGGGCTGAGATGCCAACGCCCCTTCAGCCGGACGGTGTCTGGCCGCGCCAGCTCCCACGATCGGGGCACCGTCGGGACACCCCTGGGCCCTTCCTGTCCACCCAGGGAAGCAAAGCCACGCGGAGTCCGCCCCGGGTCGGGGCTCAAACCTCCCCCCTTCCCGCCTCACCTGCTTTTTACAGGATTCAGTCTCGGGAAAGCTCTGGTTCATCTGAAGGGGAAAGCCAGAGCCAACCGCATCTCAGCACGGTTATCTGTGGCTGTTTTGCTGCCTTGCTGAACAGAGAGCACCTGAGTGCTTTCCTGGCAGTGTATTTTTATCAGCTCATTTCTTTTTTGGTGGCTTTTCGGGATTTGATTTGAATTTTAAGTTCTCTTAATCCATCCACGGTAGTGAAAAATAACGTGGAAACTATGGCTGGTGAATGACCATGCATTCGGCCCTAGGGCTACACACCAAGTGCAGGGCAGTTATCTCAGTGAACTGTTACCTGAGCAACGGGGTCGGAAGAATCCTGCAGATTCTAAATGTTACTCAACAATGTGTTTCAATAGATACCTTTTGTGCTATTGCAAATCACATGGAAAACATACTGAAAATCAGAAAAGAGGTCTCAGAAATACCATTTTTCTTTGCGCTAATTTTCATTTCCAATTCTCTTCTTCAGTATAGCCCCCATCTAAATGCATATGACTCTAGGGTTTTGCGTAAAGCATGCAGATTATGATTCAATGTATACAAATGGTTGACACATAAAACCTTGGCAAATCCGAGGACCTGTAAGATGTGTTATTGCTGGTATCATGCTCTGCATTCGGATCAGTGCAAAATATAAGCCATTCTTTTTTCTGGCCCTTCTCAGCAGCACGATGGTGTCAGAGGGCGTAAATCATGGCATCTCTAGCAGGATGCGTGCAGGCTCCACTGACATTTTCACAATTTAAATCATCTTGAGTAATAACCCTTTTAAGATGACTAATGTTACTGATTTTCCTGCATTAATAATAGTGCCGAACACAACACAGAGGTGAAAAAAAATCACTAGTGTACGAGGTCACATTTTAAAACCAAATGTATGGTTATCATTAACTCTTTCTGTTAAAGTTAACATTTAAAACTAGACAGTACTTTACTGTCATCCTCCAAAAACTTCTTTCCCTGCTTCTCCCCTTTTTCCAAAAACGCCATAAAAGACAAAAATTAATGTCTTGTTGCTTTCTGAAGGTTCCCAAATAGCTTAAATATAAATAGTCGTGGTGAGCTTGATTTGATAGTTCTCACTTGAACAAAAAGTAACAGTACATAATAATTTAGTTCTCTAACAGAACAGATCCAAATGATCCAGAAAATTGGTGGTTAAAATTAACTGGCACCAACAGGCATACTGTGTTTAAAAAAAACAACAACAACTCATTTCTCAGTTGATAAATAACTACAAAGTGTTTTTCATTCTTTATGGATTTTCTATGAAAATATGTATGAAGCCTGAGTTCTGCTGGTGGCTCCAAGTGCTAAGGGTATCCAACATGCTCATCCGCTTCCTTATTTTTAATTCTTTCCTGCAAAATTTAGCCACATAAAAGACATGGGTTGAGGGCCAAAGGGAGACAGGGAGAGAGTACATTACTGGAATGCTACAGATGGAAAAATGATACCAAGAAGCCCATCATTCCGCTTGGGTTCTCCATATAAGCTGAGCCAGCTCGTGAATGATTGATACAACATTTGATGATCTGATAAATACCCCTGGAAGGGTCACACAGCCTCTCCGCCTCAGAACAGGGCTAGTGAGGTCCTAGGCGAGACTACACTGCTACAGTTGCATACAGCTGAAATGATGAAGACCCTCAGGTGACAATAACATGATGCTCCTCAGACCATGCTTTCCCCGTGACCTCTTCAGATTAGAGATAATCTGACGTAGTAAGGGTGAGTATTCTTTTTCCCAAAAAGCTCAGCCAAAGAACACTCACCGAAACTACAAACCATGTTGTTACTCAATATTCATGTTTTCTTGACCAGTGACTGACTTACAAACAATGTGAAAGGGCAGTCTGAGCTTTGAATGAGTACAAGCTACCTGGAGTTTGAGTATTTGGTAACCTTACATTTTTTTATTGATAACAAAGATAATAATCATTGTGGAACATTTAAATAATAAAGAGAAATATAAAAGGAAGAGCAAAAGTCCCCTGAAATCGTACTTCCCAAGGACAATCACTAACATTTTGGTGAACTTCTTCCCACACCTCCAAGTATAGGTCCGTATAAGAAGAAGCGAGTTTAAGGGTTTTTACATAAAACAGGCTCATATTAGAAGGCAGTTTTACAATCTGCCTTTTTCATTCGACAAAATGTTGAGAACCATCTTTTCATGTTAATGGCCACAGATTTACAGTATCCTTTCTAAAGGGCTGAACAGGATTCTATTTTGTGATGGAATACACAGCCATAAGTGATACCAGTATCCATCTAGTTTACTTTCAGCATTTCTGAGGAAGGATACTCACTAGTCGGACGGTAGTGGGTGAAATTTAGATGAAAGAATCATGGCTGTATTTGATTTTGTTGCTCAGCTCCCTTGTTCAAATACCAATGGCATGATACTCTGATGTGAAATATTCAACTAATAGGAATATGTTGTCAGAGGATCAAAGGGCTTGGAAGATTGCTGGGTGATGTCATTCCATAGCTGAATTTGTAAATAACTAAAAGGCAACTTTGGTTTTTCCCTTCCCTTTAAAAATAATGCTTCACAAAATCAGTTCTGTGAAGATTATTTTCTGAACACACAGAAACACAGATGTAATTCATCAAAACAGGAAGTGTTTTAATGCAATTCTCAGTGTAAGTAATGCTGCACACAAGCCTTTTACTAAGTCTCACTTGAGTAATTATCCAACCAATATTTCTCATTAACACTCATTTCTCAGCAAAGATTTTAATAGCTCATAGCTTTTGTAAGGTCCTGTATTAATAAGACTTCATTAAGTTTTCAAAATATATTACAGTACATTTACTGGAATAATATAAAAGTATTATCATACATCATTAGAACAAAACAATATGTATCTAAATAAATCAGCAAAGCCCATTTTGGGAGAGCAGCAGGAGATCCAGGATTGCTTTCTAGACTCTCTTTAATTCAAATCAACCCCCACCCCCCCGCCCCACCTCTGGAAGAGGTTGTATTGTATTTTCTTGATGAAGCTGAAATGCTACTGTGCCTTCCACTTAAATTTCAACATCTAACAGGGTACAATTTAAGAAATGGGCTGTGTTTTACATCCCGACATTGGGTTTGGGGGCAAAAAGACTTGGTGTTGTCTGGGCTGCCCCTGTGCTCTGTGCACTGCACACCCACAAGTGCGGACGGCACAAGGTGCCCTGGGAGCAGAGTGTGTGTGCGCCAAGGAAGCCTGCTGTGGCTCCAGTGTGCACGGACACACGTACAGGTGCACAGGTTCAAGTGCTTGGCAAAGCCCAGATGCAGCAGCAGGAGCCTGAAGAGGGGAACTGGAAGATGAGAAGTATCTCGAAAAGCTACCATCTATCTAATGAACGATCTTGAGCTCTGAGGTAAGAAAGGATGCTAACCGTAATTCCCTCAATGTACTGTGCAGGAACTCTGATAAAAATAGAAAAAAAAATTCAAGGAAGGGATGAATATATCGAAACAGCACCCTGAACACCGAGGTAAGGGGAAAAAGCTTTACCACAGAAAACATCAAGAAACTACTGGAAACAGTTTCATATGTGGCTAAGTTAGGAGGCATTCCTTCATAAAACAAATTTTCTGAGAAAGTCAAATTGAACAAAAAACCGAAAAGATTTGTTTTTGTTTATTCCACAGAAGGAAGCATGGACCAAGCCAAGCTCTTGAAGCAGGGGCTGTGGTGGTTGACTCGGGATCCTGAAGGCAGAGGCCAGCATCTGGCTCTTCAATGCCCAATGAGTACCAAATGAACGTGGAGCTTTATATAAACACTTCTCTGGGATTCCAAGAGCACAGGAAACAGCAAAAATCTTTATCAGAGTACATTTCATGCAGAGAGGCCACTGTGTAGAAACACTAGTTGGCGGGAAAACCCTTTAGAGCAGCGCTGTTGCAAGGGTCCGGTTTGTGGACCCCTAACGGGCTGGTGGTGGGACTGTTGGGGGTGAGTGCAAACCTCAGGCCCCCGGTGGCCTGCTGTGGAAATGGGGACTGGTGAGACCTCCAAAGAAGAGAGTTTAATATAAGCCAATTAAGATGCTCGGAGATATATTCTGGGAGAAAAGATAATGAGAAAATAAACTGGAAAACTAAATTAGAGGAAGGGCAGGAAAAGTCTGTGACAGATTTGGAAGTTGTCATGCTTTAATAGCATGTTGTTAATTAAGCAATTTATTGTATCTGTTTTACATTTTATTAGCTATTGATTTTTTTTTAAAACCATCATCAAGTTGTGCTGAAGTCTTATTTAAATTTTCATTCATTTTTTTTAAGCTTTCAAGGCAATAAACTGAATCTCATAAAACATACTTGCATTCTAGGAAAGTAAAGGTAACAACCTAATTTTAAATTGGCTTTTCATGAGGGAGGGAGTTGATCATGTTTAATATTTTTTTATAATTATCAGGAGGAAGAGAATGAAAAAGATGGGATGGAGATTAATCACTGAGGATACAACAAGTTCTATTGTAAAAATTAGGTGCTCAAAGATAATATGCATTTTAATTAGAATTAAACACAGGCATTGTCATGAACTGCCATTCAATGATATTTGGGTTTTTGAAAAGGTTTTGATAGTTTCGGAAGGAAAAGCATTATACGGGGAATTCAGAATGCAAACAGAAGTGAGATAATATAAAGGGGATCTGAGGGTGATACCTGGCTGCCTTTTCCCTGTGCCCTCTGCCGTGCTGGGGTCGCTTGCAGCCTTCGGCAGCGCCTCCCTGGCCAGGCCCTGAGGCATGCTGTGCCCTTGCTTACCACTGAAAGGCTGCTCCCTTTCCCTACACACCCACTCGGCCCTACCCTTACCATCTGGCCCTTCCTCAGCATTATCCTGTCTCAGTTCAGACGTCACTTCCTCTTGTGAATCAGCCCCACCACCTTATTCTCAGGCTCCCCTTCTGTATCATGATTGCTTGCTTATTTACACGTGTCTCCCTCAGACTGCAAGTGCGGGGAGAGCGGACCCCACTCTCTCCATTTGGCTAAATTTTCTCAGTGCACCCTGCATGCTAGCATGTGGCACACAATCAATCACAATAAATACCTGATATTTGTTGAAAGGAGAGAGGAGGGCAGGAGGAAGGGCTGGTGGGCAGGCATAACAGGAAGTCTTTCCAGCAACAGCTAATCATGCAGCATACTTCAAGACCCTGTAGCATCAACGCTTACCTGCCAGAAAGAAATGTGGCTGTCCGTATTTGAGTAGGTGGCAAGGTATCGTCCATCAGGAGCAAAGGCCACTGCAGTGATTGGTCCCTTGTGTCCATGGATTGTCTAAAATAAAATTCAGTAATTAATGGTCTGCATGCCACAGAACTATTACACACACACATGCTAATGCATTCAGTGCGGAACAAGTTACGCCATGGAGATTAGCAACCTGTATGTTCTTTATTTATAAAATCAGATTAGAAAGATGGGAAAAGCAACCGAAGTTCTCTCAATGATATAGCCAAGGGCTTTATTTAATCTTGTTCTGAAGAATCTACCTGTATCTGAGTTGGGAGAACAGCATGAGTCCAAAGGGAAAAGCATAGATTACTGGGCAAACCAATGTGTTAATTCATTTATTTCCATTAGAAGGAAGAACTTTACAATTAATAAGGAAGGTAAGCAAGTGATCACCAAGTCTATGTAGGAGCCTCACTCATCTGAAATGAAAAACAAAGCTGTATCATAACATCCCTGTTCTGGAAAGAGTTAAAAACTATAATTTCAGCCCTTAATAATTATACATTTTTCATGTTTTATGCTTCATTTCCAACCAATAACACTGTGTTTAAATGCATATGGCTGCAATTAGTAAACACACATAAGGGTACCTGCTGGAGGCTTGAACACATATAAATCAAATACTATTAAAAACAAGTTAACGGGGATAATTTTGGACTTTTGCCAAATAGCTATCATTGATTTAACCATGAATTGAAAAAAGCGAGTTGTATTTTAGACTAGGTCTATGATAAAAGGTCTTTACTAATAAAAAATTATACTCCAGTTTAATCATTAAGTTATCAAAAATACTGGCACACTAAGCAAATTAGCATAATACTCAACTATTTAAGATCATACCTCTATCACATTAGCCAACATGCAGGGTGCTTATAAGTTATGGGTTGGTCTCCTTTCTTTGTCTGAAAGGAGTGGAGAAATACGTTCTCTTAGACTAGGACACTAGGAAGGTTCATTTCCATCTGCTATTTTTTGATGAACAGTTTTTTGATGAACCTTGAGTCTTGGTGGGAACATCAGGCTCATTATGTGACTCAGCCCCACACACACCGTTAACTTCAGGAAAAATATTCTCATGATTCAGAGCTGAGTGATTAAAATGAGGTAGAGACGGAGGAGAGAGGGATGGGTATACAGCCTGTTTTCTCAGTGCTCTTTGGATTTTGTTCTTTTCTGTCATTAGACTCTCAGGGCACTGTGAGATCCAAAACAACGCCTACTTTTCCACACTCAGAGAAAACATGTTATACTGGTAAAAACACGAGGCCTTGGGCTGGCAGAGAACACTGCTCTGAGTCAGGCTGCCTGGCTTGCATTTGGGCTGTACTATTTGCTGAAGGACCGAGGGCAAATGATGGGAGTTATTTAACCTCAGAGCACCCATGTCTAGAAAGCAGGAATGATGAGGAGGGGGATATTGATAATACCTGCCTCAAAGAGCTTTGTGAAGATTAAATGAGTTACTATATATGTAGCATTCTGCACCAAGATGGCACATAAGAACCCAATAAGTAATATTAATGCTTGTATTTCTCCTCCTTTCTTAAAGATGGCCATATATATATATATATATATATATATATATATATATATATATATATATTTGAAAGGTGCTAAAAGAGTAGATCTCAAATGTTCTCAGCAACAAAAAAGAAATGTAATTATGTGACAAGATAGAAGTGATAGCTAATGCTATGGTGGGAATCATTTTTTAATATACAAGTTTATCAAACCATCACATGTATACCTTAAACATATATGTCAACTGTATCTCAATAAAACTGGGAAAAATGATCAAATGTAAACAATCACAAAATTCGATTGAGTATACAATTTAAGGGAAAAAAATGCCCTAATCACATACCCCAGAATCAGTGTCAGCAAGCATACTAGGTAGTCTAAAAACAGATTTCATTTCATTAAACCTGTCATTAAACAGATATGGTAACTATCCATGGTGCTAGGCACTAATGTGCTAAATCAAGCAACAGGGTGAGTGTGGAGAATAATTATTCGGCCAACCACACTAAAGGGAAAATATTGTGGATGAGAGTAAAGAGCTTAACCAATTAAAAGGGGAAAACTGACAATTCCCACTTACTAGGTCAATTTAATGAGCTCACTGGAAAGTATCTTTGTTTTTTAAAATCAAGATTCAGTTCTGCTAAAAGTCTGAAAGCTTATGGGGCCAATTTAAAGCTATGTAATGGTTAAGACAGTTGATTGGTAAGGCCTTGCTTTAAAACAGAGGTTGCAAACTGAAGACCCATAAGCTGAAACCAGATTGTAGATGTGTTTGGTTTGGCCTGAAAAATGTTTTAAAAAATGTTTTCTGGGTCCATATTCTAATTCGTCAGATATCACATAAAATTAAGATTTATTGCCTCTCCTGAAAGACTGGAAGCTCTGGGCAATCCTGGACCTTTGTTTGTACGTGGCCACAACAGCCAGGGATGAGCAGAGGCAGCCCCTTTGGGCTGGACACTTGCCCTCCAATTTCCCACACACAAGAGGGCCTGCGCAACTAACACCCGCTGCCTGGCTCCCTTATTTCCTGCTGGTCTCTCCTGGCATTTAATGCAACCCTTCCATTAATAATACTTGATTCAAAATATTTTCTTCTGCAGGAAATAAAAAGTGTTAGTGAGGATGTGGAGAAAAAGGAACCCTCACTACAGTGTTGGTAGGAATACAAATTGGTGTAGCCATTGTGGAAAACAGAATGGTGGCTCCTCAAAAAATTAAAAACAGAAATACCATATGATCCAGTAATTCTACTACTGAGCATTTACCCAAAGAAAATGAAAATACTAATTTGAAAAGATATATGCACCCCTATGTTTACTGTAGCATTATTTACAATAGCCAAGATATGGAAGCAACCTAAGTCCTTCAGTAAATGAATGGATAAGATGTGGTGTACATGCACGTGTGCGCGTGCAAATGCACAAATATTACACAGCCATAAAAAAAAGATGAGAACATGTCACCTGTGACAACACGGACAGACCTAGAGGGCATATGCTAAATGAATTAAGTTAGACTGAAAAAGACAAATACCATATGATTTCACTTATATGCAGAATCTAAAAAATATATGAACAATGAAAAAGCAGAATCAGACCTATAAACACGGAGAACAAACTGATGCCAGAAGACAGAGGGGTGGGGAGGCCTGAAGGGAGGAGGGAATGGGGAAAATGGGTAAAAGGGAATGGGACATCTAAGCTTCCAGTTACTGAATATATCATGGGAATAAAAGGCATAGCATAAGAAGTACAGTCCATGATATCATAATAATGTTGTATGGTGACAGGTGCTCACTTGTGGGGAGTACAGCATATGTATAAATTTGTGGAATCATTGTGGTATATCCAAAACTAATGTAAGATTGTATGTCAACTGTACGCAGAAAATTAAAAAAAAAACAAAAACAAAAAACCACAATAGTTTCTTCCGTGCTCTGGGGTCCTGGTGTGCATCTAAAAGTGTGAGTAGACTAAAAGCTCCCCTAAGAAAAGTTGGCCCTTCTTGCAAGCCCCCGAAGCTCAACTCTATGTAGAAGTGGATGATTCTGGTGTTTGGGCTCCTTAAATCTCAAAACAGAATGCTAAACCTGCCCTCTTTCAGATTAGTATCCCTCCTTAATCAGCAGCCAGGATGTGCTTCCGACAATAAGAATGCAACAGTGAGTTGGCCATAAACCAGCAGGTCCAGAAAAGTCTTCAAGAAATATTTTCATATTGGGATCCCTGGGTGGCGCAGCGGTTTAGTGCCTGCCTTTGGCCCAGGGCGCGATCCTGGAGACCCGGGATCGAATCCCACGTCGGGCTCCCGGTGCATGGAGCCTGCTTCTGTCTCTGCCTCTTTCTCTCTCTCTCTGTGTGACTATCATAAATAAATAAATAAATAAAAATTTAAAAAGTTTAAAAAAAAAGAAATATTTTCATATTACGCCTTCATCTTTTACAGAGGGTGGGTATTTAAAACATCCACTTGAGGATTACTTCTGGGTCGGCTGAGGACATCATCATTATGCTATACAGTGCCTCTAAAGTAGACCCTGTGAATTAGATGTCATCTTGGACTTTTCTGCCAATACTATGTTTACCTTTCCAGATAAATGCCGTTGCTTTCTTTTATCATGTAACAATAATTTCATAATCTTAACACGTGCTTGCTTTACTGCCAGGAGACCCAGAACTAAATGCATGCTCCTTCTAGGTGTGCAGTGGTCAGTACTTTCTCACTTCATAATCATTGTCCTGCTTCCACTTGTTGTTGTGACGTCCCATTAGATACTGAACTTCATTTGTGAGTTTCTTTCAAGTCTGTTTTGGGCAAAGAGGGACTACTCTTAAGATCAGAACACACATGTGCAGGTGTACACAAGCTTAGATACTGCTAGGCACCCCACAGGGCACCTTAAAGTGGCCTAGAGAAAACCCTGAAACACTGACTGCAGTGTCCGCTCAGAGACCTGTTGTCTTGTAAGAAAGCAAGTACCACTCATGGTAGCTCAGGGAAGCTCACTGTTTTCAATGGTTTGCTACATCTGGTGAGTTCATTACAATCTCAGCCTAAGAGGTGCTTCAGAACACAGTGTAATGGAAATGTGGCCATTGTCTTTTGTTCAGAATCTCTGAACTTCTCAGATCTGTGCAGGCACCACCTGAACAGACTTTAACCTCGCTTCGGCATTAGAGATGCAGCTGTGCATGGATCACAGCGAACCTGTAAAGCACTCTGGATGGGCGAACCCCATGGCTGGCATCTGAAATGCTGAACTGTGAAGAAGAGTTCCCAGGACAACAGGTTTCAAAACAAAAGAAGGTGTGGTCTGATATTTATATGCGAATGAGCATCATGTCTTGTTACAGTTGTCGTCAAAGTAATTGCTGTCTTGGAAAGACAGAAATGGAATATAAAGAAATTATTCTAATTCAAGAAGTGCTATGAACAATAAAAAGAATCAAGCAATTACCCTTCGCAGAAGACAGAGTGTTGAACTGTTAAACATCCCTTCCCGTTTTTCTTACCAA